GTGGTGCATGCCTTTAATCCCAGCACTTGGGAGGCAGAGGCAGGTGGATCTCTGTGAGTTCAAGGCCAGCCTGGTCTACATAGTGAGTTCCAGGACAGCTGGAGCTACAGGGAGACCCTGTCTCAAAAAGACCAAAAAAAAATGTTTAGATCATTATAAAATATATTTCATCTCTAAAATTATACTATTACATCAAAACCCCATGCCCATTGGGAAATAGTCTTCCTAAAGAAGCCAGAAAGCAGGCGGTGCAATTTTGTTCTTTTGTTAAAATTCTTATAATTGTGTGATTTTGGCCCTCTGGTATACTTAAGTGATGGTTAGTTTCTATTTTCATAGATCTGCACTATAAACTGAAGTATACTGAAAAAAAAGGATGCTGCAATCTAGTGACTTGTAATGATTTTTAATCATATGTGAAGAATCACAGAATATGATACAAACTAAACAAACCTAGAAAAGTTATGAAAGAACAGACAGTCATGAACCTTTTCAGAAAACTGAAAATGATTTCAGAATTGATAAGTGCTCTTTCCTTTTTTTTTTAATTTTACTTATTATTTCTATTTTATGTGTATGAGAGTATGTAAGCACACCTGTGTTGTGCAATGCCTGCAGAGTTCAGAAGAGAGTGTCAGACGCCCCTGGAAATGGAGTATGGATGGTTGTTAGCTGTCATGTGGGTCCTAGGAATTGAACCCTGGTCCTTTGCAAAAGCAGACAGTGCTCTTAACCACTGAGCCATCTCCCCAGCCCCAATAAATGATGTTTTGTATGCACAGTTAGAACTAAATTTGAACTGACCAGCTACTAATCTTTTTTCTCCAATTCCCTCCCTAATTTATACCTCCCATGGTCTTAATTCTAAGTCTTGTTAAAAAAAACTCTATGTTGGAGTAGCATCACTCATGAGAAAGGCATTTCATTTTTGGAATTTACCTAACAAAAGCATGGCTGTGGATTTACTCTAGTCTTGTTAGGACCACATGATATCCGAGGAAATCCGTGTGAACAAGTGGCTTACTTAAAAGCCAAATGCACCACTGAGCACAGTATGACCTATGGCTTATGTCTAATTATGGAAAAATTCTTTGTAAAGAATTCCCCAGAATATGTACTTCACAACAGTGTTTGGTGCTGTGACTTTACAGTAAAGTGTGGTTTTTTGATGGACTCTATTTGAGATATGGTCACTGAAATACAGTTTACAATCTTCTTTTACTGCTTTGCTTCTTCAAAATTCTGTGCACAATATGTGACTTTTAAATGTATATTTTTACTGAATTTTTGTGCATTTCATACAATAAATCTTAGTCATATTTGTGACTTTTGAGACTGTGGAGAGCTGGGCCTTTTGTCACAAGCCTATTACACCAGCTGCTCAGAAGGCTCTGGCATGAGTATTGCATTTCAAGGCTAGACTTAGCAACTAAATGAAACCCTGTCACAAAATACAATGAAGATATAGTTCTGAACTAGAGTGTTTGCCTATCATGCTTGAGGCCCTAGGCTCAATATCCATCACTGACAAATATTCAGATCATTTATTATGCAAGTATTAAACTAAACAAAATTTAAACAAATATTAATAACTGACTATCTTAAACACAAATCATTTAACACAATGTATGTAGCATATACCATAAAATGTTAACTATATTTATACCTTTGCAAACCTCTATTATAGGAAGTAGGCTTTTTTCCAGATGAACTGGTCCACAGAAAGCCCTTTGAATGATTATTTTTATTTTTAAATTTAAAAAAGTGTTTTACCCATTATTTTTATTTTATGCATATAAGTGTAATACCTGAATATAGGTAGAAGCACTCACGTTGTGCAGTGTCCCCAGAGGTCAGAAGATGGTGTCATATCCTCTGGAACTGGAGTTACAGGTGGTTGTTAGTAGCCATGTGGGTGCTGGTGATTGAACCCAGGTTCTCTGCAGGAGGACTGCTGAGCCATCTCTCCAGTCCCAGAATGATTATTTTTAAATATTTATTTATATATGTATAATTACTTGTGGACATGTGTTAATATATGTTTAAAATAGTTCTTTGTGTTATCTATTTCTGACTGGGAAAAGTGGATTTTATAAGTCACAAAACAGGAGGA